CGTTCTTTTCTCTCTCTCTCTCTCTCTTGCTTTTCTTTAACATCATACACGAATACACGATAATTATTTACTTTTATTTATTTATTTATGTAATTAATTAAATTACGTCAATTCTATGAGAAGATAAGAAATCGAAAACAATCTTGTCTATTAAAGTATATATTTCAATTCATGATCTTAAAAAAAAATAACTTTCAAATTTTAAATATAAACTAGATTAATCTTATCTCCGACCATCTACATTTTTTCTCTCGTCTCCTCATTTATCCTCGAGAATACCATATATATATATCATGTGCCCGCGGTGTAGAAACAACGAAAGTCAGACGTACGAGAGAAAAAGAAGCGACAGAATGATGGCAGAAACCTTTCTAGAGTGCATAGCGCGTATACAAAAAAAAAAAAGTACGCTTGTTCACTTTCAACCAGTGTAACGAGTTTTCGAAATGTTAAACTAATGTTTTTTTATCCTAAATAATTTTATCCTAATAATTATCTTAAATAAACTATCCTCTGCAACGATAAAAAGACCATGCCAACTCAAATATCTTTATTTTTAATTAGAATTTGAAAGTTAGTTTCTAAATTTAATCGTTTAAATATTAAGCGATCAGAAATGATTTTTCTTAATTGAAAAATAAATTTTTTTTTTCTTTTTGCATTTGTATTTGCACATGCAAATTTGTTCCATAAAGAGGAATAACTTTAAAAAAAAAAAAAAAATGGCGCATTTGTTAATTGAAATTTTCTCTCTCGATTTAGGCTCTAACATTGGTGAAAACATGTGAACCAGTGGCGGAAATGCGCGAATGCAGAATACCAAGAGACTGGTCTCTCCTCGCGCTACAAAACGTACGAACAGGGAAATCTCATTATCTCGTTATATGTCGTTGTCCCGACGCCAATATATTGGGTAAGAAATACGAAGAGAGGAAGAAACAATATTTTCTAATTTTGAACGCTGATAATATTCTTGTGAAACAACACTATCTTCTTGTCCTTTTGAAATATTTCGAAAATGATCACATGTAATCATTTATGTCATCATATATTTTACGTGACTTTATATTTTAACACGAAATTTGATATAATACAATATATATGTATATATATATATATATATGTATGTATAGAGGGTCCTATGAGTCACGATCAACCAACATACGCGAGCGTGCCAGGAATACGTGTTTACGGGATGATGTGCGTGCAAGGGAATCGAAAAGGACGACCATTAAGATATAAGCGCAGTGTTGCAGGTATGCGCAATAGATTTTTGCGCAAATTAATCGTAACAATTATACCGAATGGTTGATTTCAACAAATTTCGTCTCTACAGATCATTTTCATCGAGAGATTGACGAGGAGTCTGCTGCATACAGCGACAGTGAAGAGACGAACGAACGATTGAAGTTTCCATGGTACAAAGTACGGCAACTAATGGATTCAATTATTTGGGATTAGATTTATTAGCTAAACTTCCAAAATAAGAAAAAAAAAAAAAAAAAAAAAAAAAAAAAAAAAAAAAAAAAAAAGAAAAGAAAAATCGATACGATAAATAATTACATTATGCTTAGCGTCATTTCACATTTTATTTATTAAGCATCTCTCCCTGCTTCGCTTCGCTTCGTTTATTTATCGATCCATCTATTTTTTAATGTTTATTTATATATCACGTTATATTATATTGTATCAATTGTACGTCAATAATACCCGTAACATCCATTCTGATATATTAAAGTAATGTGACAAGAGTGTCAAAGCCATTTCTTTGATAGACTTGTATTTTGTAATTCGGATTACACGACGTGATCGTATATAACGATCGAATGTGCAACGAACGTTGAATATATAATTGCTATTACTATGATATTGTATACCCTGGTTCAAACTGATTTGAACAACGACTACGTTCCTTCGAGATGATGAATGGATATAGAAACTTCTTCTGGCACTGTTCCAAATGTGCCTACTTTATCAACCGAAGATAAATATGAAAAATCATAATACCTTTTTCTTCGCGATCAGACATATCTCATTATCTACTCTAACATTTTAAAAATCTATCTATGATTTTTATCTATGATTTTTTTTTTAACAAAAGAATAAAATCATGATATTTTCACATTATTTCATACAATAAATTGCTTTTGATTTTTCATAGAAATAGCTGTTAAAATAAAATTTTTTTTCAAAATTATTATTGTTCAGCTTATATTCTGATTTTTTGCCGATGCGTTATTCAATGAAACCAATGAACGATGCACAAAAATCGTGATTACATCGAATAATATATTTCTTGTACTTGATTATTTAATGGACATTATGATAAAAAAAATTGAGAGACAAAAATTTATTAGGTAGATTAGAGAATAATATTATATTTGATTATAAATATCATATTTGATTATATTCTGTTAACTTAACTCTCTAATATCATATGATTCTTTTATCTATTGAGCAGATTTTTCTACATTTTTATGAATTTAAATTACTATATTTAAATTACTATTTTAAAATAATATACTATATTTTAAAATAATATTATATATAAAAATTTTTTACAAATTTATAACTGCAACAGTTATATTTAAAACTCATTAAACAATAAATTGTTTCTTTGTTTCTTTATAAATTTTTTTATTTTAATAATGAAAGATGTATATAGAAAAATTCAATAGTATGCATATCTTCTAATTGACCTAATAATATTCATTAATTCATAATAATCAATCTTTTTTTCCATTCATTATAATTTCAAATAGGAAAGGTACAAAACAATGAAATTGAAGAAATAAATAAATATAATAAAAATATCTGTTTAGAATTTATCTCACTTACCTAATACGTCCGAATTGACTAAAACACTGCAGCTATACATAGGTGTAACTAGTCGAGGATGTCTTGAATTGAAAGCACGGCGGCAAGCTTCTTTGCATGTCGACATCAAATGACCACCATCCACATGTCCTTGATTTTGATGTCCGTTATTTTCACTAATAACACATTTTTTTTTTTTTTTCAATATTCGATTCTATCATCGAATTAAACAAAAAGTAATAATACGAAAAAAATAGATAAATATTAAGAAACATTAATTTATTATACGAATGAAATGTATTTATACCTTTGAGAATCTTGATAAATTTCCCATTTCTTCACAACAAAACAGACACCCATCATAGGTTCTTCGCATAGAGGCCCAGCAAGCGTTGCCAATTGAAAACCGTTGACCATACCACTTTCATAACTATATATTATAAATAATATAAATTTAAGTATCAATTTAGGATGTTTGATCACGTTTATTAATGATATAAAATACTTTAAATTTATTTCGCTTAATTAATTTTATTTAATATAAAGAGGAGAGGAAATATGTGAAATCAAAAATGAATATTTATTATAATTATATTAGTTTTCTTCTAAAATTTAATTTTTCTACGTTGATGAATACTCACGGAGCACGTGAATCCGTAGACTTTGAATGGCCTTCCCAAAATTTTCTCTGTTTGTAGTCGGTTTCGTTTAACAAGATGTTAAGACCACAATTTCGTGGCCCGAATGACCATATTTTATCTAACACATCCTTCTGTCCCGCTTCTCGAAATGCAATCGCCAATTCAGTTTTAAACGTTTCTAATGCCCGTTGTTTCTTTTCTGACATCGAACACAATGATTCCATTTTGAGGTCCAATGCAATTTTTCCACTTTCTTCCTCTTTGTCTGAACGTGATTTATCATAATGATAGAACAGCTTTATTAAATCCACGTTTTTTTCCAAAATCTTAGTTACCTTTTCCGGTAAAGGTCTCGCGTCGATTTCAAAGTAACACTGTCGATTCGCTGTCCAAGTAGCAAAACTAACATCCTCGGGTTTTTTTTCAATCGCTTCGTTTACCATATCAACTTTCGGAGGAGGCACAACCGTTTCTCTAAATGGTACGATAGGTTCCGATACGTTTACATCAACTTTCGCATATCGTAACTTCAAATCTTCCAAACACCTTTCCAAATGCACTTCTCCAGCAGTGTTCAATACTATTTCCCCACTCTCTTGAATGTGAACAATGGCACAGGCATCCGCTTGATTAAGCAATTTCAAGCCGTTGATCAATGGCTGCAAATCATTCGGATGTTTTGGTTCGAGTGCAACACGCATTATGGGTACACCGAGTGAAGTTAGTTCCGAAAAAGATGGACAAGCAATGGTGGTGGAAAGGGTCGCTGTCTTTAATACATGATCCTCCAGATCACCAATTCCGAATACGTTACCAGAAAATATTTTATCGGCAGGTTCTAATTCTCTGCCCATCAAAAGGTACAGTTTTCGTATAGTAACTTTAGTCACGTGTTTTCCAGGTTTTAAATCTTTTAACGTGATATCCTCGTCTATCACAGATTCGCCCGCTTTTTGTCGTTTCAATATTTCACGTGGATCATGTTTTGGACCTAAAACGTATACACTGCATCCCTCTCTTAAACATCCAGAATAAATCCGAGCGAACGCTATTAATGTAGTTTCGGAATTTTCATCTTCCTCATCGATTTCTTTCGAAACCATATTTTCTAATTGCGAAGATTGACCGCCGTTTAAATTGCTGGTATTAATATCTTGCTCTGTATTTTCAGCCATTTGTTGTTTCATCATTTTTTCCGCGTGTTTTGTTCGTGCTATTTCTCTTCGTTGAGCCAACTCTTCCGAGGTTAAAGGTCTCGGTTTATTTTCTGGCAATACTTTTTTCTCTACTGGAAACATTTTCGATATAAATACAACGATAGGTGAATCAGGAGAAGGATCGCAAGCTAAAAATGTCTCTTTTAATTGTCTCGTTTCTTCTGGTAATGTAGAGAAATCAAAGTTTCCGCTTAGTAAACGTTCTACCTTTTCTGAAGTTAAATTATGCGGCGCTGGAACTTTTTCACATATAACATCGAGGCAGGCACGAGCCAAAGGTAACCACTGGGAACAAACTGCTTGTAATTGAGCCCTACAATCTGTATGCCTTAAATCTCTTGTTGTCAATTTAATATCCATTTTTTTAGCCATTGAAGCTACTTTTTCTTTATCCTTACGAACAGTTATTGTTTCATATAAAGACCAAAGATTATCCAAAATAAGTTGAACAAATAGAGGTTTTTTTGCTTTCTCTTGAGCTCCTTTCATTATTCTTTTCGTTTTAGTATTTACATAATAATCTCCCCAAAGTGTTTTCAATAGAACCTTTTCGCTAAAGCCTAATTTGGCTGAAAATATATTGGCAAATTCTTTGATGCCAAATCCCCAGCCATCTGTAGCACTGGAAAATAAGACATTACCTTGTTCAGGAGAAAAATATAAGTTGGAATCATCTATATCTTCTAGTACAGATTGCCAATCTGCTAGATTCCTCTCGGAAATGTTTTCCATTTTTTCTTTTCTCAATTCTTCTTTTTCTTCACGTTCCATTACATCACTGGCAAATAATTCTCCCATTACAGCATTGACCTGTTCTAAAACTTGTGTTAAATGCACATAAGCATCTAATGCAGACAATTTCATTTCTGTAATCAATCTATCTATTTTATTTAGTACTAAAATTGGTTTTAAACCTTCTGTATAAGAAATAGATAATGCGCTACGTGTTTGTGGACATACACCTTCTACCACATCAATCACAATGATGGCACCATCACAAAGTCTAACAGCTGTTGAGACTTCTGAAGCAAAATCTACATGCCCTGGAGAATCAATTAAGTTGATAGCAAATTCTTGACAATTATATTTATGATAAAGAGTAATAGAGCTCGATTTCATTGTAATTCCTCTAAGTTGTTCATCGGGACGACTATCTAAATATCGTAATTTACCAGCAAGTTTATTAGAAATAATTCCATTGCTAGCAACCAAGGAATCTGCCAAAGTCGTTTTGCCATGATCTACATGAGCTAATATACAAATATTTCTTATATTAGCTGGTTTGCTTTGAATTTCACTTAATTTTTCTGGACTAATGAGTCGCATTATGTGATTAATTGTGATTCTGTGATTAATTCATAAGCAAATATAAATGTGAATTTTTGAAGCATTGATAAATGTGCAAATATAAAATACAATATGAATATTAAACTGAATGATAAATCTTGAAGATTATAAGATGTGTAACACTGTCGATTTTATCAAACAAACGAAGAAATGATATAAGTACGTCGAAAAATAAAGTCTAATGTACAATATATTTTTATGTATACGATGTACTTATGAATATTAGCTTGATAAAATAATAGTAAACACTATTTCACTTTATTTTGTTTCCACAGTACGTAACGTTCGACAAACACAAGGATGTATCGTAGCTTTGTTGACATCGTCGTCGTCTTCCAAAGCATACCACTTGTTTCAGTTGCTCAATCGGTCGCAACACTGACAGATTATTAGTCAGAAAATGACGGTTGTAATTATTTCTTTTTTTTTTAATCTCACTGGACATATATTTGCTAAAGGAGAAATCTTTTTGACACTTTTCTTTATCTTCACAGGTTAGAATCATTAATATAAAATATTACTTTGTAGCTTGATCTTTTATCTTTTAATTAATAAATCTTTGATTGTGTAACCAAATATTGTTTTCAATCGTTACAAAAAAATTAATTTTAGCATTGCTTCGAAAAATTCCGAAATAAAAAACGTGTCGAAAATTTAGCGTGCACCAAAAATCATATATGTAGTCATAACACGTAACGAATAAATGCTCGAATTGTTTCTACTTTATTACTTTTTATCAATTAGTCATGAAAATTGCTCGAAAACAATCGTTATTAGCCTTATCAGAAATTGATAAACAATATTAAAACCTTATGCAAGAAAATTTCAGTTATAAGACATGTGTTATATGATATAAATGCACATGCGCAGAAGTATGAAATTTTGTGCCATCTATGACTATGTTCTTTAGCGCATTTATATAGAAAAAAAAATGATAAATTTTAGAATAAATAGTATTCGTTAAATCGAATAAAGTTATTTAAAATGGATCAAAAAACTAAGATTATAAAAAGATAAATCATTTTTTATTTTCATTTAAAATAACTTTTTGAATGATTTAAGAGTTATTATTTCATATGGAAATAATTATCTTAACATTTCTTGTTTACTTTTTATTTTTTATATAAATATATAAAAATTAGCTTGAATAAATTTTCTTAATATTTTCTATTAATAAGTTAAAAAATAATAAATGTAATGAAATGCAAAATTATTATTAAATTTTGCAGAATAAAAGAAAAAGGCAAATAATGGAAACAGATAAAGTAGGAAAAATTATAGAATTAGCGTCATCTCTAGTGTTATAGATAAAACAAACTAGAGAAGAAAAGGAAGTAATAGAGGTAAATAAAAGATGGAGATAGATTAAAAGTATTCAAATCAGCGCCATCTGCACAATGTCATAAATGAAACACACAAAAGGATAAGAAGAGATAGAAAGATAGAGATAAAGTAAGAATTGATCGCTAGCTCTATCTCTTGAGAGAAAGATTTTTCAATTATAGAATAAAATAGAATAAGAATTGAGAATTAGTATCATCTTTTGATTTTTGAAAGCATGTATTTAGTATTCAAAAAATGATGCTGGATCCTCAATTTTTATTATCTTATTTTACTTTTGATATTTTAATTTTTTAAGAGATGGCGATAATTTTGATAATTTTTATATATATATATTCTATCTTTTTTATGTGTTTCATTTACAACACTTTATTAGATATAATGCTGATTCTTCAAATTTTTATCTTATCTCCATTTTTCTCACTATTTTCTCTACTTTTTCTATACTTTATACTTCTATACTTATTTTTACAATATTCGTGAATAGAATATTAATAATGATATATGATTAATTATAGATGAAATATTTTGTCTATGGCTACTTATAAATGAATAAAAAAATTATTATTAACCGAAAATGGATAAGAAAATATTCAAATGTTTTTTGATCCTTCAAATAACTGATATCCTTGAATTAATTTGTTTAAAAATAAAGAGCAAATTATCTAGGAAAATAATATAAGAAAAAAAACTGTGATAAATTTTATTATACAATAATTATAAATACAATACAGATTATATGTACAAAGATTTTTACAAATAATTTAAAAACAATAATAGTTTAGAAATTGATTGAAAGAAAATAACAATTTAACGATATTAATTTGATAAAATTATATTTTAATATAATTCAGAAAAGATTTCGAATTTCTTATTATTTACATTGTACGTTTTAATTAAGCGTTTTAATTAACGTTATCGCATTTTAATTTAATTTATGAAACATGAATATAGATATATATAAAATACATATCTAAAATATACATATAAAATACATTATGCCTATCATATTTTTAACCATAGTAATGAATAGTATTACAAAGAGCAAAAAAGGCAAAAAAAAAAATAAGATAAATAAAGAACAGAAAAGGAAAGAATAATGGATAAAAAAAAAAACAAAATAAAGAGAAGAAATTAAATTTAGGATTCATTTAGTAATAACTGATGTTTCTTCATTAGTTATTTTTTCCATTTTTTCTTTCTTTTTTAATGCACGCTTTCTTATATTACACATGGTCTTACAAACTAACCAAAGCGTACCTTTTTCGCATATGTAACGTAAAGCATTTACAGAGGCGACTAATAAACCATGCGGCAAATAGCCTGATGTACACAATTCAAGACCAATTGTTTTTAATGTATGTTTTACATATTTCTCTGGAGTTGGCGCCATCCAAGTCGGTTTCCTAAAAATATATTTATATATATAATATATGAAAGATATTTTATTTATTTTGGATCTCTTAATATATAATCTTTGATAGTTTCGATTAGTCGTTAATTTCACTGATAAAAAAATTATGTCACGATAAAGTTATTTCGTTTGAAATGACAAATATTGAGATAATGACAAGGCTTTTTTCATGAGTCGAATTTATATAATTGTTATTGCTTAAGAACTTCAAGAAATAAACATGATTCATATTTGGAAATAATAACAATTACATTATTTATATATTTTTTTTCATTTTTTTCCAATTTTTATTGTTATTTAAATTTAAAAAATTTTTTTATTACTATAACCGATAAAGAATAAATTTCAAATAAAGTTTATTCTCAATATGATTATCTCATTACTTACTATTATTATATGCAGTGATTATTTAAAAAATAAATTATTTATAAAATAAAATTAATAAAATTAAACGGAGTATATATAGAGGATATTTATAGAGTTAAAACAAATACAAAGATTAGTATATTTATATAAAAATTTTGGTTGAAGCTTATTTATTAAAAATTTAAGTTTATTAAATCAAAATGTAATTTAATTTGAATTGAGTTTTATAATTTTTTATATCAAATGTAAATAGGTCAACGTATAAAAATTGATGCAATGCGACATTGGTGACAGTAAAAAATAAATTGACGTATGCAAAAAAAATATATGCATGCAAATTTTACTACGCAGAAAATTTTTATATAAGATCTATAAAATCCAGATACAAAAAATTGAAATTTTTACGTATAGAAAACGCACAATTATTGCATAATTATTGATAGTTATTATCAATAAAAATGATATTTTTTTATATATAGAATAATATATAATAAAATAAATAGAATTTCTTCGTTCAATTAAAAATTAAATAGAATAATTTTCTTGAATAATTTTTATAAATAAAGTTTTTAACATAATTAAAATTTTTTATAAAATATATGTATAAAAAATAATTTTAAAAGATAAACAAATAATAAAGTAATTTTTTTTTAAATGTAATTGTATATTTTAGGTTATTCAATTGATTTTGTAGATCTAATCTCAAAAATAATAATCTATAAAAAAATATCATATATTGAAGTTTGTATAAAAGAATCATTAATTTAAGAATTATTTTAATTTGAATTTTATATAACTCATCCTATAAAAGATACGGAAAACATAAAAGTATTTCGTATATTCCGTTTTGCAATATGATAAAGATTTCGTTATAATCATAACGTTTTATGTATTTAATTTATATTATTTAAAAAAAAAATCAAATAAAAAGCAGATATTATCATGTGACTTTTCGTCAGATTCTCGAATCCAGCAATTAAAAATGTTTCATTTAGAAAAATAAAATAAATATTTTGTAATATACATTTTATAATTAAATAACATTTTAATTTTCTTTTTAATTATTGTTTTTAATATTTATCTTTCTTATTGTTCATCGTATCATGTCTGGAAAGAAATGTAAATCAAAATTTGAAGAATCATTAATTGTTATTAATATTTATCGTTCTATATAAATGAAACTTGGTTATTTTTCAGATCAGCAAAAATAGCCAAGATATTAAAAAGCAAAAGATAAATGAAATAAAGAATTGTCCTCGACAACAAATGAAATAAAAATATTCACTTATTTAAATTTGTTTAAACTTACTTTATCTAACTTGCAAATGGATGTACGTGCATATATAATAAATGCATATATATAATAAAATATATACGTAATAAAAAAAAAAAAAAAAGAAGGAAGGAAAATTTTTAAATTTCATTTTTTTTTTTTTTCTTTTTTTTTTTTTTTCTTTTTTTTTTTTTTTCTTTTTTTTTTTTTTTCTTTTTTTTTTTTTTTCTTTTTTTTTTTTTTTCTTTTTTTTTTTTTTTCTTTTTTTTTTTTTTTCTTTTTTTTTTTTTTTCTTTTTTTTTTTTTTTCTTTTTTTTTTTTTTTCTTTTTTTTTTTTTTTCTTTTTTTTTTTTTTTCTTTTTTTTTTTTTTTTTCCTATTTTTTTTTTTTTTTTTTTTTTTTTTTTTTTTTTTTTCACTTACGTGATCTTTGACATCTTAGTCGCCACTGGACCAGGAATGAGGCATTGTACAGTAACACCGAATGGTGCGGCTTCAGCGGCTAAATCTTCGCTGAGCTTGATAACGTAACACTTGCTGGCTGCATACACAGTTAAGTAAGGAGATGGCATAACAGCCGTAGCCGAGCTGATATTTATCAAAATGCCCTTTTTACGTTCGAACATTTGAGGAAGAAGGGCCCTTGCGACTCCTGTCATTGACGCCACATTCAACTGCAAAATCTGAGCTATGCTTTCCTCCGAGACATTCGTGAATAATTCAGGATGATCATAACTGGCTCCTGCATTATTTACCACTATTGCAATCTAGAATTTTAATTAATCAATTCTAATTATTTCTTGAGAATATTAATGAATGTTAATGATAAAAGTGGCATGATTTTTTGTATTGTAAGATTAAATAAAAATATCAATCGTTACAGAATAAATTTTCTAATGTAGTATAATGTTTCTCAATTTCTTAAATTCAAGTAATTTGTATAACTGACATAATTTTATTAATATTATCTTAATAACTATATTATTAATTACTTTATAGAATATGACGATGTAATTGTGTTAAAGTATCTGTTAAAACCTATATATTACCATTTAAAAAATAATTAAATAATAGTTTAGAAAATATTCGAGAATAAGAATTAAGAATCTATATATTACCATTTAAAAAGTAATTAAATAATAGTTTAGAAAATATTCGAAAATAAGAATTAAAAATCATTAATATTTAGCAATCTGATATTAATTTGAAGAGATATTAATTTTACAAATAAAATAAATATATGTATAATCAATCACAAGTCTTTATATATATTATTTTATAAGGAAATTCATTTAATCCGAAAATTTAATCCGAATAGTTTGTGCTATATATATATATATTATTATAAATAAAATATATATTTAGAAAATTTTTTTTATCAACAGAAAATCTCTATAAAGATATGAAATTATTTGAACTAAAGCATCTTTTCAAATATCAATTTTTATGAGCTAATTAACATTTGCTATTATTTAAAAAAAAAATTTAACATAATATAAATAAAAAATAAGAATATAATTAGTAAATATAATTAGGTTGTTTTTTATTTTCCATAATTATCTTTGTTGAATATTAACAAATGAAAATTAACAATGTCCATGTCGTAAAAGTAACATAGTGACTCATCATAATAACGAACGTGTTAAAAGAGTAAGAATAGAAAGACGGATAAAAAATATTAAAGAAAGAATACCTCGAGCTCTTCAGTGGCTTTGGCAATTTTGGCATAAACCGCTTGTCCCTCGGTCAAATCTGCATCCACGATTCGAACTTGAACTCCATATCGTTCTTTGATCTCCTTCGCGACTTCTTCGAGTTTTGACAGAGATCGCGAAACCAGCACAATATCCAAACCTTTTTTCGCTAATTGTTCCGCGTACGCTTTCCCGATACCGCTTGTGGCACCTGTGATCACTGCCCATTTACCCTGTGTTCTTGGGTCAACACCGAATCCAAAATTCGGTCCTATTAATTTCTTCCACACAAGAACGCTTATTCGCCATAGAATTCGCAATCCAAGCAATCCTAATACAACGAACGATATTTTTTCCCAACACGTTAACGTCATCCTGAAACGACGAAAAAAATCAACTTGGCCGTCACTTGAAATTTCTTCGGTCGAAACGATACTCTCGAAGAATTACGATTGTCTATCGATGTTGATTGAATCGCGACGCAAATCTGTTTTTCCCCCTTTGTAACGTCTTCTTTTCATACTACTACTTGCCATAATGCAATGATCAAACGAACTTAACCATTGGTCGGTTCTGATGATCGCAGTCGTGACATTGGACCTCTATTATCACATTGTATAACATACTATTGGATATGATGATTTATTCAAAAGTTCTTTGAACCCAATTTTTTTTCTATTCGATTTTTATTCTTTTTATAAAAATTTATTATATTATTACTTATTAATCCGGGAGTAATAAAAAAATATTTAAAAATTTTCTATCAATCATTTGATTTCAAAATTGCACGAGTCGAAGACGGATGTTTAACTTGAATTTACATGTGTAAATATTTTTTTACTTGTTCTTCAAAATTCAAATTGAATAATGTTAAATATTTTTTATCTATTATTATTAGATATATTTTGCTAAATTACATTCAGAATATTAATAATAGCCAAATCTCTAAATTTCTATAGGCTTAATGTTTCTATAGATAATTTGTTAACGTTAATTATTATTTCTTTTTATAAAGAATTTTTTAATTAAAAAATAAAATAACAATCTGAAAATCTAGAATAGAACATATTTGGTGCAAAAATTAAAAAGATCACGACACTAAAGAAAATAAAAAATTTAAATATATTCAATGTAATGCATAATGTGTAAGAATTAAAATTTCAAATTGAAAATTCATTGACATAGATAATAATATTTCAAGATTCAAGTTATTTTCTGAAAGTAAATACTATTTTAAAAATTTCATGGAACCGAAATTTGTAAAATTTAATCGATTAATATATATTTATTTTTTAGAAAACTATTTTTTCATATACTTGTAAACACGATCACAGTATATTATACATTAAATCATATTTATTATATGATATATATATATATTATATTATCGCAGTATTATGAAATTTTCATAAAATTATTATATTTATTATATTTTAACATCATATTTTAACATCTTTTATGTAATAACAATTATAAATAGAAATTCTAATAAAAAAATTTCAAAAAATATAAACAAATTACATATAAATAAGTTATAATTAAGTTTTAAATTAAATTTAGTTTATGTTATTTATTGAAACAAATTTATATAATATATTAAAATTTATTTTATATCTACAAACATGTGAATTAGAAAAATACAAATCGCTACATTACATGTGATTATATATACCAGATATTATATTTTGATACAGAAATATTTATTATATTTTATATAAATTTCTTTTTTGTATATAAACAGAATTTATTTCACTGTTATCCGTTTGTAGACATTAATTAACGATTTCAATGCATCATATGAGAATAATATTTGCGATAATTTATATATTCTACTATATATATATTGAATTGAATATATATGCGTAAACAAAAGAACAGATAAGTATTCGTGAAAGTATTTATTTTACTTACTTTTATTTGATATTGTTGAAATTGATATTAATAAAGATGATAATAACGTTGATAATAAAGTTTTTTTCTTGATTTGACGTATTTCTCTTCAACACAATAAAAATGTAGTGGATGTGAAACGATTAAATTCATTAATATGTAAAAATTTCAAAAAATAAGCAAAAATTCATGTAATCTGATTTCGATGCTCTCGTATTATTATCGCGAGAATTGGATTAATTAATTCAATTATTCAAAATATCAACGAGGAAATGAAAAATAGAAAACAAATGACATGTTGTGAACGAGTTTCAAAGGTACCGAACAAACCAGACTAAATCGGATCACGGAAGTGTACGAAGAGAGTATCGAAGAGAGTACGAGAGAAAGCGGAAAAGGGAAGAGAAAGGTAACGTGAAAGTGGAAGGGGAAGAGACAGAGATTGGTGAAAAGGAGGAGTGGAGGGGAGTAGAGGAGAGAAGGAAGCAACTAAATATTAGGGGAAGAGATGGGTAGTTGAAGGAAAGCGAGGAAGCGAGAAGATATAATATCATGGTACGGTCGATGTTGGAAGCAAATGTGGGGAGTTTGCGCGGGCGCAGACATTATGGATGCGAATTCACGTGATCGTGGACGTAATATATGTTCCGTTCGATGCATATGTAGTGGAAATATGTGATTTGGATATTTAGATGTCAGCGTTTAAAAGAAAGTTATTGCTTACATCTTTCCGTTGTTAAAAGTGGGGAATAGTTTATTTTTTCTTTGACATATTTCATTTTGACATACTTCTCCGTAATAATAAAATATTCTCGATTAAAAAAAAGTAAAATACTGTCGATAATTTATTTTTGCATTTTTCTTTACTTATGTTATGTTATTATGTATTTGCTTGAATATATCGAGAAATATGTATATCCAATAAATAAAACTAAAATTTAAATGCATACTACAAATATATAATGAATTCGAATCGGTTTTTATTTTGATTATAGATCGATTATAATATAACTGATTTCGATTTACATATTAAAAATTTTGTTTCATTTTTATTTTCTTATTTATAAATTATGAAAGTTTTTATATTTTTTTGTTTTCGCTTTTACATTTTTCCTTGCTTTGATTATTGTTTGATTGTGTCGAATAAGATAATTTATTATTAAACTTGTGATCAAATGATTAATTGATATTCTCACATGTATCTCAAATATTTCATTAATTAAATATTATTGTGCTTAATATAATATAATATTTGAATTTCACATAATATGTAATAATATCATATGTATAATTGAATTGTGTTGTATGCATTTACACGAATTCATACATATGTATAAATACATATATGTTTTGTAGTATTTAAATAAAGAATAGCAGAAAACAGTAAAAAAGTTTGAAAAGAATAACAAAATCAATAGATGTCACATATTAAGCACGCAAATCGGTAGTATTAATTAACCGTTCTGAAATATCGGGCATAAGTGCTTTTGATCTCTTTTTCGATAGTGTTCCTGTTTTAACAATACGTCGACCAATTAACATTGTACGATTACGATTTGCTTGATGCAGAGTTTGTAAATGAAAACGTCTCCAAAGTAAAGCTTTGGTATCAATGGATTTTGTCCAATCGTGCCATTCTCCACGAGTAATCTTCTCACTTTCCATTTCCAATATCTTCTCGATTACACTGCGTAACCATATATTCCAATCTTTAGCTACATCACTGATATACTCTAGCCATCTAGTCCAGTCCCTAATTTCTAAAGATTCTACTTCTGGCATATATTGTTCCATGAATGCAAGCTGCGATTGAGTTAATAACGATCTTAACCAAGTTGCAATTTTTCCACATACTATATTCATAGTAATCTTTAAATCTTCCGTTAAGAGATCTGGATTTTCCAATCTTACTATATTACTCAACTTTTCGTAGATTGCACGATGTATGCCATTTGTTATTGGATCTTCACCCGTATTTTCTGGTGCACTTTCTATCATTTTATAAATAGTATCGATTATTTTGTCAAAAGTAAGATAAGGAAGATCGGTTTTAAATACGTCCTCCAAAGTCTTCATAATATCTATTTCTTTAGGTACTTCCATAGGTTCTAATGAAATCTTTTTTGGAGATACCCTTACTTCGATTTCTTTTTCTTTTATTTTTGGTACATCTTCTACCTTTTCTTCAGCTTTTGGTTCTGCCTCTTTTTCTCTTTTTATTTCTGCCTCTTCACCTGGCTCTTCAAGTTCTGTTTCTGGTTTTGCTTCTGGTTGTATATCTGCTTCTATTTCTGATTCTGGTTTTATAGTTTCTTCTGGTTTTATATCTTCTAGTTCTGACTTAATTTCTTCCGGTTTTGTAATTTCTTCTGTTGTCATTTCTGGTTTTGTAGTTTCTTCTTGTTTTATATTTTCTTCTGGTTTTGTTTCTTCTTCTGCTTCTGTTCTTTCTTCACCTACCTTAGGTGTTTCTAATTCTGTTTCTGTTTCCATTTCTTGTACTGTTTCTGATTCTGGTTCTGTTCCTATTTCTTGTACTGCTTCTGCTTCTGTTTCTGTTTCTGTTTCTTGAATTGCTTCTGATTCTGTTTCCGTTTCCACTTCTTGTGCTGCTTCTGCTTCTGATTCTGTTTCTGTTTCCACTTCTAATACCAGTTCTAATTCTGGTTCTGTTGCTTCCGTATCTTCCATTCGTGGTCGAGCCTCTACTTCTGCTTCAACTTGCGGTTGTGGTTCCGTTTGTATCTCTGTCTCTTGTTCTTCTGGTTGTACTTGAGCTTCTTTTTCAATTTCTACTGGTTTATCTGCTTCATCCACTGCTTCATCTACTTTTTCAAGTTTAACCTCCTCTTCTTCTTCCTCCGTTATTTCTTTCTCCGGTTCTTCTTCTTTTACTTTCTCTTCTTCTTCTTCGATCATTTTTGCATCTTCTTCCCAATCATCTTCATCGTCATCCTCGTCTGGATATTTCTTTTCAATCTCTTCCTCCTCCACTTCTTCGTCCTCGTCCTCCTCTTCTTCCTCTTCCTCTTCATCTATTCTCATTTCTTCTTCTTTCTTTTTACATCGTTCGAGAAGTTTTTCTTCTTGATATTGAGCAACCTCAAATAGCACTCCGGTCACCCAACAGGCTAATACATCAGCCAAATAACGTACTTGTTGCGATTTCCGATCTTCGTCTTTTGGTTGACTGTATTCAAGAACATTTATCAATCGTCGAACTATCACTTCTGCGATATCTTTAATCTCTGATTTAGGGAATGGACATTTCCATTTTAAGATACTTCGAACGAAACGCTCAGCTATCAGATATTGAGTAGAAACCGAATCTTTCTCGAAAGATCCTACCGTTGTAATACCAATATTTTGTCTTTTCATTTTGTTTGTCTCTTTAAATTGCCATTGATCAGTTCTCTTTTTCCTTTTCTTCCCACGCGTTTTCTTCTTTCTACGCGAGATCGTTGCAGCTTGCCTGTAACAAATATTTCACCGTAGCTAAATAAACTTAATGATATTTAAAAATATTCTAATATTATTTTTGAAATCGACAAACAAGAATCGTTTATTTCTTTTATCATATACTTTTCAATGAAAAATAAAAAAAAAATTGTTTACACGAAAAATTATTTAAATCAATATATTACTCAGGAGTTAAACATGTTTCCTTTTCCACAGTTCGAACGAGATTATCCAAAAGAGCTGGAGGTAATATTGACGCGCCTTGTTGTAAAGTTATTAACATTTTGTGTCTTGTTGGTTGAGCCAATTCTTTGATTCGTTGTGATACAGGTTTCAATTTTCTAAGCACCATTTTCTTTTCACATTCTGGTGGACATTTACGGCTATATGAAAGTATTAAAATCATTTGTACATGGTTTTATTAAAATCAATCAAATTGTATTATTAATAAACATAAACATTAAAACATTTTACCTTGGAGTTGCTAATATATCGATGTAATCTTGTTTTGTCAAACAATGCCTAGGTATAACTTTCAATTTTGGAAATGTACAAGGTTCTCCAACTACGGAAACCATCGCAAATCTATCTTTTTTTTTTCTTCTTCCTCTTTGTGTTTTGCAATCAAGCTCATTTATTTTATCCACGTGCTACTGAATAAATTTGTCATAAAGTTATGTAGATAGATCTTTTATTAATCTAATGATAAATATAAAATGTCAATTTATTAAGATTAATTAATATTAAGATATTAATGTGATTACAAATTATTATGAATTATTTTCAAATAGAAAATAATTAATAGTTTAAATAATAGAAAAATATAATAAAATGATAATGAAAATGAAATATAATAAAATATAAAAATTAAAAATGAGCAAAAGAAAATGTATAAAATAAACATATATATGTTTTTACATTTACATAGTTCTATCATAAATTCTCAATTTATTGCTATATATATATATCATATATTATCAATTTATTGCTATTATTATTAGATGTCTTTTGACAAAAATTATATCGAAAACCAAATGATAGTGTTTCAGAATATATATCGTATATTTTAACTAAAATCGATTTGATTATTTTTCATAAAAAATTATTTGAAAACAGAATATTAAAAAAAAACTTTGCTGCAATAGTATCTTTCGAAACTTTGAAAAATATCAAAAATGTTCGTTTATTCGAATATAAAAATATTATAATAAATTTTTAAAATTATCTTAAAAATTAACATAAATTGAAAAGAACTTTGATGGTAATTTAATATTTTATAAATTTGTATAAAATAAAGAATGATTATTTGAATAATACCCTTCAAATTCTATTTATTACATTTATATTATTTATATGTATGTAATAAAACTTATGATAGAATAAATGTAGTGGTTTTGTTTATATAATATATTCAAGATAAAAAAAAAGAACTATTTTAAAAATATTAAAAATATTCAATTTGCCTTAGGTTTTTTTGGAATTTTCTCGGGTTCGCAATGTACCCATCTTTTCTTTTTTTCTACTATTCGTGGATAACCTTCGAACGTATCATCCTTTTGCCCTCTTTTTATTTCACGGTCGACAGAAGTAGCCCGTTTAATATCTTCGGGAGAATCATCAGTCTTTTCCATACTCATCTTTTTCTATAAATAATATGTATATAATTTTACTATGTAATAAAACAGACACATGTAATATTTAAATATTTTGTTCTTATTCTTTTTATAATTTAAATATAAAGATATATTTTTGAATAATTTTTTTTTTTTATTCATAAAATACTGATCATACCTATGTATGTGTATAATGTGCAATTACTATTTATAAAATCTGATCGAAAATGCAAACCGTTACGATATTTTATATTTTTATTATTATCTCTTTATACGCTTTGATCTTGAATCTTTGTTTGATGTTTGAAGAGGGAGTATTGAGTTAGATGTACTTGAAATTTGTATTACATTTTACTTGGGACCGTTAAATATGATAGGTTAAATGAGAGGTTAGAGAAAGAGGTCTGTTTTGTTTCAGAAATATAGATTTTCATCTCGTTCGATGTATCTCGCATTTGAATTAATGCATATATAATACGAAATATAATATGAAATATAATATGAATATAATATGAAATCAAACAACAATATGAATAAAAATTTAAAAGACAAAAAAAATGAAAGAAAGCGAAAAGAGGAAAAAGAAAGGAAAAGAGAATAATATATATGATAAAATGACAGAGAATCGAAGAATATTTGCGTAAACGAGGTAATTCGACTACAGTGGGTAAAGTCACTAGAAAACATGCTGGTGACTGAGGCACCAAAATAATGATGATTCCTACTCCTACAAACTACAACAGCAACTCGAAGATGGCGGTAGTTACGATATCAGTGCTCGACACCGATAGCTGCTCCGTTTACTAATCGATCATTCCGGGTGTCGGGAGTCGGTGCAAAGTAGATGCAAGTTGGTGTGCCTATTTGAGAGAACGCATACTGCACAAGGGGATACTTGGAAGTAAAAGAAGTGTTTCTAAGATATGCGGGTGTGTGAAAATAACTGTTGCTCCTGTATAAGCGACCCGTGATACAGGTGTTTAGTACAAGATGCTAATTTGAATTGTGTCATGAAAAATGTTGGAAATCAACGAGAGTAACTCAACGGAACGAAATACCATTTGAAACTTCCAAGGATATCTTCACTTTGTTACTACACTGTGCCGAATAATTATGATTATGATGAGATAACAAACGCAGAATGAAATACAGTGGCAGTAACCTTCTTGGTTATGCAGTTTACGCGTTTATTCTATTTTTTAATGGTAAGTAAAATATGAAACTTTTTTTCTTTATAATACCGATTTTTCTATTGTTTTAGTCAAATGCTTTTTTATTTCTATTATTTTTTCTTTTTTTAGTCAATTTTTTTATTTTTATTACAAATTATCAGAACTTTTTATTCCACAGATTTGATTAAGTTCGATTAATCCTGATTAACCCTAATTTAAAGCTATGCATCTATAATTCAATAAATGAATGAGATATTATTTGTTATCATTTAAAAGTTTTAAATTTTGTCTTTATTCTTTATATCAATTAATTTTTTTTATCATTTTGTATTTACATACACGTTTAAAACGCATATTCAAGCTAATAATAAATTTATTTTTTTTCTTCTTTTTTTACTTTCAATATTTATATCAGGCGGCAATTTTTAACTGTCTCTACTTAGTAGTTTGTCCGATTGACGTAAGGTGCATGTATGACGCATGTACTTGCCGCTTATTTGATGACTTCAAACGATATGTGCGTGCTATTTTTTTATTCGTATTATATAAATTTATTATATAAATTATATATATATATATATATAATCAATATAATAATTATTAATTATAAAATAAATTATAGATAAATTCATATATATTATTAAACAAATATTTAATTTATGAATTTAATTTCTTATATTTTCATTGTTTAACAATCAAGTAAATAAATAAATAACAGGTTTTTATAAATATTTTTACAAATATTATTATTACAGTTATTCATGCAGAAAGTGGTGTTACCTGCAAAGATCAACAAGGACGATCTTATGAAAATACTTTTATATACATTCCTGGTCCAGAACCTTGTACATTATGTGTATGTGATAATGGCAATCCAAAATGGTGTAAAGCACTTGTTTGCAAGTATGCAGAGGTATTTCAAATGCTAAAATAATTATATTGCTTTGCATTTTATATTATTTTTTTTCTATGTGATTAAAAATTTATTCATAATTCATATATATCAAACAGGAATATTGTAAATCTTCCCGGCATATTTGTTGTCAATATATTTGTTTGGATGATACATTATTATCTATACCAAATGATAAAACTGATGGGATTGGTAGCAATACCACTGATGCTACTACAAATTATGATATAGGACTACGATCTGTTGCTAGCTTTGTAACAGCTGTATTGTCATTAAGTTTATTATTTTTTTTAATACATCGATTGCGCCAAAGAAAAATACGAGGTATTTTTGTTTTACAATTTGTCAATTGTTTTTTTTCTTAGAATAGTAGATAAAAAATATTGATTATTTTGTAAAAGTTTGTGTGGCAGGAAGGCAAAACAGACAGTTAGCAGAGGACCAAAGAAATTTAGGTAGTATGGGATATTTAGATCGAGATGGATTATCACATGGTGTTCCTATGGATGACATTCCATGTGGAGCTAGTTATCCATTATGGAAACCACCTAATAATTACTTTCCTCGTGGCGAAGCTCCACCACCTTATGAAGAGGCAGTAGCAGCAGCACGGGCAGAACAAGCTCTTTTATCAATGAATCCACAAACGCTTCCACAACTAAGTTTTCCAAATACCTATTTGCCAAATACTAATAGTCGTACAAGTATATCATTAGTAGGAAGTACGCAAAGTGGCATAAATGGTAATTCATCGACATTAATTTGCGACAATGGTATAACAGATCAAAGTGGCTTAATCTCAACACCAAGTAGACCAATATCAAATCCAAATATATATTCTAGTTATCATCAATCGAATCAAAATGAAACATTATCTCCAAGTGTTAGTGTAGGAACTTCAACGACGAGTTTTACAATGGGAACAAGTACTTATGAGAATTTACCTACTCCCATTGGAATTCCAAACTTTGTTAATCAGCGTCCTAATGTAACTGTGCAACCTTTATCTAATATGCAATCTACTATTCCAAAAAGTTATCAAACACATACTACTCTCCCTCGTCAAACTGGAGCATTTACAATATCTGCAACTTTACCAAATTCTAGTGTAACTGCTCATCGTACAATTCCTAGAACTTTGACAACTCGTACTGGTGCAAAGTTACAAGATATTATAAATGATTGCACTCAGAAGGAATTTTTACGACCTACGATAACAACCGATCTTACGACTCCGAATTTACCACATTCCACGCAACAAAATGCTATGATTAAATTAGAAAATACAAGAGAAAATGCAAATACATTTTCTGAAGATATACAAATACAGCCTTCTCCTGCATCTTCTTCAGGATTGCAACAAATTGAAAGACAACCTTTGGATCATAAAATAGATATAAAATCTCATGATTTTAAGGTGTAGTACAAAATGTAGTGTTGATATTGTATTTTTATATTCAAAACATTATAAAATTTAATTTTTTAAACGTATGTTATATAATAATTTTCATGCATTTCAGCCACCATTGAATATAGCTAATGATATTAATGAAGAAGGAAGCTTTGAATCAGTAGCATGCACTTGTAGCATGCAAGCTCTTTCTACTCTTCATGATGATACAGACGATTATAGAAGCGAATGTGAAAATTGTAAAAGCGCAACAGGTTCTCGTTATTATTTAGATAATGAAGATGAATTGATTACTTCTCCTCATGAAACTATGACATTACATAGAAGACCAGATGAAACAGCTTCAAATACTACTCCTCAATATTATAGAACTTCACTCACACTGCCTATAAGTACCCGTCAACGAACAAGGTAATTATAAAAAATAAGTTATTCTTCTCTTTTGTTAATATTTCATTACATTAAAATTATTTATTAAAATGTCATATAAAATTATAAAAATTATGAATATATTATAGTATAGTATAATAGAGTAAAAAAGATTTATTTTCTGTTTTTTTATTTATTATTATTATTTTTTTTATTATTTATTTTATTATTTATTATTATTTATTTTATTTTCATTTTTTAATAATATCTTCTTTTTATATTATCTTCTTAATATAAAATATGTTTTTAAAAATTAATAAACTAAAGAAAATGAATGTAATTTTTTTATAAAATTCATGCTGTGATACTGATATCTATAGGATATAATTTACTGATATTTCTTTATACTTAGGAGCACCGGCGTTCGAGAAAATTGGTTCAACCCTATGCCACAAAGTTCTACAGAATCTTCAGATGAAAATTAATTGCAGTTATATGTTTCCCATATATCATATAATTATTAAGATGATTTATAATACACTATCAATGATCAAAATTCAGTATTATGACAAATGAACAATGTTCATATTTTATTGCGTTGCAGAACACCAGTTATTGTTAAATAATGTTACATTGTCAAATTTTACTATACAAATGAAATTTTTTCTATCTTATTCACTGTGTATAAACTGTTCACATATTCAAGCTATGTATGATTTATGAAAAAGATGAGTCACATTTTTGCTCTCATAGTTTTTCTTTATATGTTATTAAACTATGAGAGCAAAATTTAAATATATTTATTATATATAATTTCGATATTTAAGTTAAAAAACAACAGCTAAGGAGCAAAATAACAATTTATATTTTTAAAATTTTTTTTAACTATGTTCGATGCATATCATTTGTTAGAATTTAATCAAAATTATTGTTAAAAATACAATTTTTATCTTTTAATCCCTGCGGAGTTGAATAATATAGTATATATATATATTTCTAGGTACTGAATAACGCAATAAAATATAAAGAACAGATTGGTTCACACTATATACATTATATCTATCTTTTATTATTTGATTAGTAATCATTGATTTACTTATTTGGTAAAATGATTTTAATGTTTATCATTCAATAACATAAACAAAATGTGACTATAGGATAAAATATGAAGGTAAGTTTCTCAATAACAATTTGATAAATTTTTGAAATATTTATATGTCATTATATGTACATACATTATATTAGTATTTATATTACTATTAAATTTATAAAGTTTATTATAACTTTTTTTTTTATTTGAATTTTTTTATTTTGTATAGAAATTTTTATTCAATTGTATTATTTGAATATAATATTTTAAATGAATTACAAATATTATTTTTATATTAATTTTGATTTTATTCTGATATTTTAACAAAAATAATTAAAAATATAATTGTTATATATTAATATTTTCTGATATTTCAAAATTTTTTTTTTTTTGAATATGTAAGTGGCGAAAAATTTAAATTACATTGAACATAATTCAGTTCTTAAAATTTGAGTTTTTAATGTTTCGATTAATTGTAAAAAATTAATAAAAATCTTAATAGTTTTTAAAATATTAAAATTTCAATGATTATTCAATATTTTGCATATTATAAAATATTAAACAATCATCAATATTCTTAAACTTATGAAGACTTTCGAAACTTGAGACTTTTAAATTTAAATATCAAATCACGTTCGAAGTGATTGGAATTTCCAGTACTGAAAAATTTCGAGTCATTTTAAAATTAAGATTCGAACACTTATCATGTATACCTACATACAACGTGCAGTGCACAAATATATGTTTTGAAATTTTTTAAAAATACATATCACTATTAAGTACAACCGCCACACATACAATTTATATCAAAATTATATAAATATATTCATTTCAGTTAATTTTTGATATATTTATTATTTCTTAGTTCTTTTAATATAAAACAAATAAATATGCATTATGTTAAATAATTATATTATATTATAAAAT